GTTAATTTGAATAAGGATATTTACATATTCATTGAAAAGAAATAAATGTGTATTTGTAAAGAGTTTTAAAAAACACCTTGATTTAATTTATGATCAAATATTTTGCTTATTTTTCGAAATTAGGGATGCTAAATCAGTTTTTTCTATATATATATATATATAGAATTATACTGTATAGCATATATAATTATCGGTACATGTTTTAGGACGAATTATGCGATACATGCCTTCATTTTTTGTTTTTAAAGTTTGATTGATACATATTTATGACTCCCAAAATTTTTTGGAAACATATTACTTTTTCCTTCGCCATCTGTATGTCTGTCTGTCCGTCTGATTGTCCGTCCGTCCAAGTTAAGCTTGTCCGAGTTTCACAGATAAAACTACTGGTAGAATATCAACCAAAATTTACAGTACCATCCGTAATTGTGCACATCACACGTTTCGATTCGATGCACAAAATGGCCGCCAAAGCTAAAATTTGAAAAATCTTGCCCAATTTTCACAGGTCAAACTGCTGGTGGGATTTCAAGAAAACTTCAAAGGAGTGATGAGTACCTTCCCTAGTTGTGAATATCGTCAGCACGTCGCTTTTTGCTGCACAAGATGGCCACCAGGGGTAAAATAGAAAAGTCTCATCTTGCTTTCAAAGGTCAAACTGCTGGTTGATTTCAACCAAACTTTACAGGAGTGATCTCTACCATCCCATCCCTAGATGTGCATATCGCCAGGACAGGCGGCTCCGCTGCATAAAATGGCCACCAGAGCTATAACATCTTGTCCGGCTTTCATAGGTCAAACTGCTTGAAAATTTCAAGGAAACTTCACAGGAGTGATCAGAACCATACCTATTTGTGCATATCACCAGCACGTTCCGCAAAATGGCGGCCAGAGCTATAAATAGAAAAATGTTGTTCGGCTTTCACTGGCCATTTTTATGAAACTGCACAAGAATGATCTGCTTTGCTGCACAAAATGACTGTCAAAGCTAACAATAGAAAATTCTGCCTAGCTATCACAGGTCAAAATGCTGGTGGGATTTCGGCCAAAATTCACAGGAGTGATCAGAACCATACATTTGTTTGGAAACATTTGTTTCCTCCTAGTTTGACCTTGTTTCTTCGACGGACTTTCCTTTGGAGTGTATTCAATAATCAATAACAGATCCTTTTGATTCGACAAAGATAACCTTGGTTATCAAGGATAGACATTGTATCAGACAAACCGCATCAAAAATTTGATGTTAGAGTAACTAACGTAATGAACATTCCGCAAGAAATTTGATGGTATAATGTGAACGTACACTTTTTGAAGAATAAATATATAGCATTTATAAATATACACATAAAACAACAATTTCAACAGTAAGTCGCCGAAGAAACAAGTAACTGAAAGAGCATCGAAACAAGCGGCTATCTGATTTGTACGACGAAGACATATATTTTATATCACACAGTTGTTTCACAAATGAACATAAAAATAGATTTCTTTATTATTAAATATATTCATCAAATACCAATACAAAAAAAATGATGATTAACTTACAACCATAGATATGTTGTTGTTTTTTTTTCTTCGTTTATTTGAAAATTATAAACTGTCTGCTAAAGTCGTGTTTTAGTAGTGCTAGCAAAATACACATTAAGATTATTTGTTAAAAAATATCAATATTTTATTTTTAACAAAAGCTGTTAAATCAAATGACATTTTAACAAACAAAATGTGCCAAACAATTGAATTAAAATACAAAACTTCCTGAACTAAATGATGTTAAAAGAGTGGCTGATGTCCATAACTTATGTAGACCTAAAATGTTTGCCTATTATCGTATACTTCAGGTCTGCCTTAAACTCATGTTATATTTGTTACATATACATCTGTAATTTGTTATATATATTTCTGTTTTTTGCGTCTCCAAAATCCCCGAGTAAAATTACATAATAGGTTTGACCTTCTGAACTCAAATTATAATCTTAGGATGATCTGCAACTGTGTTTGCACAATTATCCTCATGGCTTTCACAGCGGTGTTGTTTATACAAAGTTATACGTAACATTGGTAGAGACGTTTTAATTTTCATGAAATCATTAATACAACTTCACGAATTCCCGAGTCGTCCATCTTCATGCATTCGCTACTTTAACATATTGAAATTACGATTCCATCTTTAATTTTAACATCATGAAATAACGGTTAATACTTCATGAAATAAACATTTCAATTTCATGAAATAGCTAATTCATCTTCAGTTTATTCTCTTTTTTCTCATGATTGCTCATGATTGCTTTCACGGAGTTTTTGTGGATAGTCTGATACATTTGGTGCATACCCTAAGTAGATAATTTAAAATATGCTTCCGTTTTATCTGCACGTGTATATTTCACTACTTTTAAATTTTGATTTAGTTTTTCATTTTCTTCATTTCTATGTTCCGTGGCTAATGCAATGTATGACTCATGTAATACATGTATAATATAAACAATAACAATTGTTTGGCAATATTGACCTGATACATAGAGGATATTTGTTTAGTTCAGTGTAAAATCGGAATATATTTCACCGAGTGAGCACCAAAAGGTATATTTCACGAGTGGCGCAGCCACGAGTGAAATATGAACTTTTGGTGTTCACAAGGTGAAATATATTTCGATCTTACACTAAACTTAACTAATTTTCTTTTTATTATATGCAAAGAAACGTTTTAAAAAGACATTAAACCTAATACTGAATGAAAGCGCGCCAAATAATAATATAACGTGACGTCATTTATGACGTCACGTCATTAAGTTGGTTCCCAGTACTGTGCACGCTGGTATTTCACTGAAACAACGTAAGGGGCTTAAATTCAAAACAGTTAAATTATCAAAGTGGTAATTTTACTGTTTCAAACAGTGAAATTACCAGTTTTAAATCACTGATATATTTCTATAAACCACCGAAAAGCATGTAATAAATTTTAATATTCAATGACTTGTGTCGGTATAATTACCGGAACGTTTGATCAACGGTAAATGTATAACTTACCGGCGTATCACTTGACTTACTAGCCTCGGTGACACGGTGTATAAGACTTTCACTTAGTTGTAGGTTCGAATCAAATTATTTTTTATGGGTTTTTTTTGCATTATTTTATATAATATTTTTCAAAACTTGACCACTATGTTTTATGCATGTGAATCACTCATTGTACGACTTTACATAATGAAATTAATAATAAAGAAAACATGTATTTATCGAAATGATGAAATCAAATAAAAAGATGAACTTAAACAAACACTTTATCAACCAGTGATTCATATGATGAACAGAAATAGAAATAAAAAGGTCAGTTTACGAATACTACACAATAAAGATTCGAAACCTATACTATCCTTAAAATCTTCAGCGTAAATCATAATGATTACGGAAACTATCGAAATACTTCCCGAAAATTAATGAGTCTCAGGTCAATATTGTCAAACAATACGACTGCAGTTTATATGTATGTTATACATGTACTCTGGACTTTACTGTGTAGTTATTTCAGTACGCTTTTTTGGAAATACTAGTATCAAATTGGACCTCTATGTTTTAACGAAAACATCATAGTTTTAAATTGATCCGAGTCCGAAATCCAATAAAATAAAAAAAGTATTTCGATTAATTATGTAACTATTGTAGGACTATGTATCTTTCTTCATATTCAAAATGTTTGTTTAAATTATTCCAATTAGTATAAATGATAACTGATAAGCAATTATTTGCTTTACTCTATACAAGAAACTAGAAGCTGTGCACAAATCGTGTATAAAAAATCCTAAAATTTAAATACAATACATATTAATCTGCAATTAATCATAAACATTGTCCATAGCTTTCTTAATATGTACGGGATAGACGTTTGTAAAGTACACTCGTATTGAACTAAGAATTAAAAATATACAACTTGTAAAACTAAGAGTTTGTACCCACAAACTCCTTATTTACAGGTAAGTGTAGTTTAGGCTAGTGCAACAAAAATACAGAATTGTATTATAAGCAATGAATGATATGTTGAAACTAACGTATGCACGTGTCCTTTTCTCGATTAGTTTCTAGTTAGATTTTATATACATGTATTTTAATCTAATGTCTTTGATACTCAAAAGCGAAACAAAAATAGAAACATCTTGATTAAAAACACTGTTTGCAAATGATGATTAATTTGAAAGTATAAAGCATTAATGCAGGTGAAAAAATAAGTAAAAACACAATAATAGCAACAAAAGTAAACAATAAGACAACTCAACGCTTTCCAATAATATATTGCATTAAAAATATTGTCTAGCTTATGTGATATAACAACGGTTGTCAAAAGCTTTTAAGTCAAATGTAGTTGAACATGGCGCACTGAAAATGTTGCAGGCTCAATGTGATTGAGCTTATACGCTGACGGCAGTCGATATGCATGCTACCGTCCACACCCATACCGGAATAATTCAATATTTAAATATGAAAATGGCGCGTAATAAAGATTGTAATCTTGAATTATCATCAAATGTCTTCATACGGCAATTACCATTGAATTGTCATGGTAGAACTTTCATGTTGTGTCCGAAAGTAAAAGAATGCATGTGCTTAAACGAAAATGGATGGGATTGGGAAAAAAGTACATATATAATTTGAATTAGGATCAGAGGTTTTTAATCCCTGCGTAAAGAGCTGTAAAAACCGAAATGTAAAAAGTTAGTAAAATATTCTAAAGTTTATTATAAAGTTTTATGTAGGATTTCTGAAGCCGTCAATTGAAAAAAAAAACAATATAAAATTGAAGAACTTAAAGTCCCGCAAACTTGACAATAAAGTCGTTGAACGATCTTCACATTTTGAAGGAAATTATGTTAAAAGGAAGAGGTTACCAAAAACATATTTGAAAGAATATTTTTCTGTATAATCTTAGCCTTTATCCTTTTTAATATGGATCAGCTCATAGACTGTTCAATGTGAAGAAAGAAAAAAACCAACTGTGCTTACGTTGATCAGCTTCCTTTATTTTTGTTAGTAGATGGGTAGCAACATATGAGAGGTAATGTTGTAAAGTGCTTGTAAAAAATGGTTACCTTTAACTATCACAGCATTGTTACATACCTTAAGTGTGTTACTCGTTTCCCCCAAAGAATAAATTGAATAAGTCGTCTTCAGTGATTCAACATTGACCTGAACTTCTACATTTCAAACCTCACAATTTACTTTTCTTAAATTTAAAACGAAAATTGCTTACAAATTAAATAGTCATAATCTTATAGTGGTAAAATGTACGCATTAATTATGAAATAAAACAACCTGAATTATTCCCTTGCCGTGATTGCATATTTTCTAACTTGATGTCAATTGCGTTAAACTTTTTTTGATTTTTTCTATTTTCTTCTTCGCGTTCAACATCCCTTCTCTGTGCATCTATTTTGTTTTGTTCTTGTAATTTTCTTACATCGAATGCAATCGATTTTTCTAATTCAAGTGATTCCATTACCTTCATAGCATGCTGATATTGTAGCTGCATTGATTGATTGGCTTCAAAAATTGCTATTTGATTTCTCAATTTATCGTTTTCCCTCTCATGCATTATTTGAATACAATTCAGTTTTTCGTCCTGTTTCCTTTGGTATTCTATTCTCTCCATTTCCATTTGATTTCTGTGCTTCTCGTTCCGTTCTTGTTCATATTTTAAGGCGTCCTCGAATTCTTTTCTAAGGGTTTTTTGCCTTTGGATATATGTTTTCTCCAAGCGTTCAAATTCACCTATTAAGAATCAGAAGTTTGAAAATAACTTTTATGTTTAAAGTATAATAGCACTATTAACGATAATAATTGTGAAGTTATTAAAATATTTAAACATTTTAAAAAATATGTCACAGTATATATAATATTAAATCAGTATGGTAATAGTTTAAATCCTTAATATATAAGTATCTTTAATGATTAGAATGGCAGTGAATTCTCTTTATTTATTTTCTTATTTCTTTGTTGTTTTTATTATTATTTGTTTGTTAGATTGTAAGTCACTCCAACATGTACTGTATAGATCCACATAGGAAATCACATGACCTTAAATAGTAATACAAACGAGTAATGGCGACTTGTGAGCTTCGTTAGGTTCATTATTTTTTATAAATTTAGGTTCTCGAAAACCATAAAACGTAGGACAATGTACTTGGTATTGATATTTAAAGTAAGTTACCGTGCGTATGATAGGCTAGGTCAATCTTGAACTCCGCCTTTCCTTGATGATCTTGTTTATCATATTTTGATATTAGGAAACGTTTTTCACCTAAATATTTACAGAAGACCTCATGTGCTCCTTCATAAATTGTTTCGGACATAAGCGGGCACCGTTTAGTAAGTAGTACCACCGACCTTTCGTATGCTAGCTGGATATCTTTCTCACATGAAAGAATTCAAAGTTTCTGAAGGGATCCCTATATATCTCTTATATACATTACAGAAATGCAGAATCGAAAATGCTTATTTTTACATCAAGCGACTATCATTAGAATCTATAATATCAATATATCAGTTATTACGTTTTCTATCCTCTGCCATCATTTTCTGGTCCATCATTAAAACATTTTTCTCGTTTACCTTTTCTTGTTCCATGAAGCCACTCAGTGCTACTTTTGTCTGAAAGAAAGCGTGTATTTTATAAGATCAAAGTTTTAACAATACAAAACGAAACATCAAAACATTTTATTAGCTAGAAAGTCAATTAAATAAACGCAACCACACCCGCTGATTTCCTTGTCCTTGATTTTTATAAATACTTTTTTTGTTTTTGAAAATGTGTTTTGAATACCTCATGTTCATCACAATCTTTGACTTCATTCTCGTAATTAATTGTCATTTCATCTATATCTAGCCTGTATAATTGATAGCAGCCAGGTTTGCTGTAATGACCACTTTTCATTTTGTTTCCTATTGACAATTCATACATGTTTTGTATTTTCTGTTCACAGTGAAGCCTGACCATATTCCTATTTTCCTTTTTTATTTCTTCCCACATGCTATTCATATCCGCCTGTCCAAATATGAAAAAAAACATGTAAAACAGAAAAATGAGCATGTTGAGCCAGAAACACAAATCAACCGTTCTTTTATAATTAAGACAGACTGCAAATAAATGTGTTTGATATCAAATTTATTGTAACGCAAACAAGTATCTTTTACACCTATAAATTTATTGTTAACATATTATGTTTACATTAAAAAATATAACAGTATCTGGTGTGTATGTTTAAGCATGCAAATGTTTAGTCCAGCATTTACTGGAGCATGAATGTTACTTAAACTGCATTTTTTTCATATTTTTCTGAGTTGAACACAGATTCATGCCGCAGTTTTGAAAGTGCACCCTTTTGTATTTCTTGATAAAGATTTTCGAAATCATTGGTCTTCAGGACTGGTAGTTCAATCATTTTTAGTTTTTCCGCGAACTCTTTTACAGCTACGGCTGCCATACGTTCGTTTTCCAAATTTGCAACAGCCATGAATGCGTCATCGACAACAGGAACGGCTCCGTTTCGTATTGCGTTTACATATGTCTCGATAAGAGTCGAAAACACTGTTTATACAAAATAAAACAAAACAAATAAATTTATATGCGGTTCTGTAAGCTTAAATCTCGCTCTTTCTCTTAAAGCAATATAGTTCTTTATTAGTTATTTTGTCTTGAACTACCTGAAAACACTTTGATTTAGATTTAATGCATATGAGTTACATTAACAGAAAGCATCAATATCAAAGTATAGTTGTAATTACTTCTTCCGTTGACTGGCTTGCTGTTAAGGAGCACCTTGCTCTCGCATGCGTACATGTAATCTAAAAACAACTTAGTTTCTTCAATAAATTCGTCGGACAGTGCTTCCAATGGAATGCATTCTAACTGCTGCAGAACTTTTCTTCCACCTGGCCGATCAAAAACAAAGCACTTGCGCTTACAAAAATATTTCAGAATACATTCCCTTGGTCTGTTATATTTATTTATTGTACTATCGTCTCCTTGCTTCAGTTTAAGACAATCTTCAAGATAGACATCGGGAGTGATTTTATTGCCATCTTTTTCTAGCTCTAAAGAAAAATCTCTAAGACAAAGAACAAAAGTTGGGAGAATCATTCTAAGTTGTTCGTCATCGACGCTTTCTGTCCTGTTCTGGAATCTGATATTTTTCGACATTTCTGTTATAAATCTTTAGGTACAATGTAAGTAAAATAACCAATTTAATAACACTTATGTCATTTGGTTTTGACTATAAAAATGAGTTAAGTTACATGAAAGTGAAACTTTCCAAAAGAATGAAAACAGCACATTGACTACAACTGTTATACCACACGAAGCTTGTTATGAAAAAGGAGAGTTATGATTGTCCTTGATAGCTTAAATGAAGCTCTAGTCTAGAAGATTTTAAAAAAGATTTACCCTTGTTTCCTAGAGTAATAAATCAAAGTAAAAAGTGACCGCAAGGCGAGACCAATTAAGACAATTGTTTTGAACAAACTTGATATAAGTCTTCACAACATTAATCAAATATCTTAGCACTAGGCATTGAGGTTTTGATATTTTAAAAGGTTTCCTTCATGAAACTATGTAAAATGAAGTAAACAATGGGCCGGGGTCATGGAAGGATGAGTGATGGAATTACGACGAATCGCCAACGAAAATAATAAAAGCTCATCGTGTGATCAGGTGAGATGTTTTTGGAATTGATTCCTATATTTGAAATGACACTGTTTTGGAATAAAAAAAACACACACAAAAACAAGAATTCCGTGTTATGAAAAATATAAATGATACCTAGAAATGAAATAAAAGAAAAATAAATAAGCAAAACGACAAGTATATAAAATCAGTGAATAAAAAAAAATATCTGTTTTTTTTTAATTTACCTTTCATGCGCTAAAATGGAAATCAAACCGATAAGGAAATTGATAAAATGTACGTAGGAATAAGGTTCTTGATAGACTATTATATGTTATTTTGGTTTTGGAGTTATATATATGTGGATATATTACCTGTCAAGATTTAATATCACCCGAGCCGTTAGGCGAGGGTGATATTTTATCTTGGCAGGTAATATATCCACATATATAACTCCAAAACCAAAATAATAATTTTATTACCCTTCCCCTGCCGAGTTAAGACGATTTGATTTTAAAATAAATCATTGATACTTCAAATGAAACGTCGATATAAGATTCCCTTTAGGGTACCCCTTCATCACTACATGACGTCACCTAAATACATGACGTATTTTCTTTCGAACATAACGAATGTAAACAAGAGAAAAGGAGTAGTCTGTTGAACGCACTTTTTTGGAATTAATATCAAGCTTTCACAAGGTCATATTTGTTTTCAATACTGTTGAGAAAATGTATGATTACTCTTTTTTGGTAAATATTTATCATTTGACAGTTAAAAAGTGCTTGTACATCGGAATTTACTTCGCGTAGAATCAAACCGTACGCGCGTTAAGAACGTGGGGTACCCAACGGGGAAATTTAGTGTGTATATTACCCGTCTGGCTCGGTAATATCAATTTCTTTCGGGTGATCAATATCCAATCAAAAAGGCTGACAAAATCTGGAAGGGTAATAAATAGTTATATGATGGTTGTATACAATTAACCCTAGTCCAGCGGTTCGACTTATATATGTAAACAACCGTAAATATAGGGTCATATAACCTGTCAAACATTTTAATAACTAACAAGGTGGAGTAGTTTGGTAGAAGGCCTTTGAAAAGTCAATCGCAATTTCGCAACTACGTTAGTACCGGGAACATTATAATAAAGGATACGTCAGTTTATCTACAGCATCTTGGTTGAAGGTTGACATCATGTTATAGACTAAGACATTACATAGCAGCACCACAAGCGTAAAAATTCTGTTATCATGATCCTTGTCGCCCTGTAGAAAATTTGATATATGATCATGATCAGTATCAAAGAGGAAAAAGACTAAACAATTGTTGTCTAAATGTTACTGAACATCAAATAAGTAATTCTTTATTTTCTTTACAAATTATAATTATGTGCATGTGTGGTTAGGAATTGTAATGTTTGTTTTGATTATAATCAATTCATATACCATACCTTCGAAACGTCTCCTAAACCCTCTGTATCTAGCAAGACAAGAACAGTGTTGTCTTTACGTGGATGATCCTTACACCATATCCAGATTCCCTTTGTTTTGGACTCTATAGTCTTTCCAAGCGGAAACCCTGACAGAATACAACGTTTTGCTTTCAAAATATATTGAAGTGGCGATGCAATTTCCAAAAACTACAAATATCGATTCACGGGTTAATGTAAGAACACGAAAAAACTTTATTAAATCATCTCTTGTGTAGCAGAAAAGACTCATGTCTCATTCGAAATCACCAAAATAAATGGACATATATTATATATTGCATTAATCATCATAGAATTGACAATTGCAAAGGTAGTGCATTTACTTAATTTATCGGGACTTTCCCTTTCTGGAATGAATAAAAAATATGGAAAAGGTGTATCCCTCGGAAGCAAAGAAAATAACAAGTATATGCAGATGCAGACTCAGTTTGATTGATGTTTTTCATGAGCGTAAAGGGATACATCCGTCACACCCGCTAATAACGGTTTAATCGGTATTCAATCTTCAGCATTTAATGTGCCGGAATCAGTAATTCCGATGGTCCAGAAAAAATATAACGACAGTAAAGTGAAGTACGGGGCAACTTTTACAGCCTCGCCACACAATGATTGATACCTTCAGTGCTGAATAATATGATGTTGTTTTTTTTTTGTGTGTACCGCCTAATCTATTTACCTTATTTACCCCATTCACCTCAAAATAGTTACCCATTGTGTAACACATCTAAAGATTTTACCGTTCGAAGAGTTTGCAAGCCGGTTCATTAGGTATGATTTTCCAGTCCTGTATAGCCCAGTAATCGCCAATATCACAAGTTGTTTATCAATCTCTTGAATTTGCTTCAGTATTTCCTCTTCAACTTTGAATTGTCCATTATCATCTGTACTTACTAAGCACTTTGGCGCTTCAAAAATACTAAATAGATAATTGAAATTATAAATTCTTACGTTACCAGTGTTATAACTTTATCTTAAACAGAACATATTTATAAGGATCAAGTGAACATAATTATATTTCGCTCAAGCCATTGTTAAAATAAAAAGAGCATTTAATAATGATAACACAAAACGTTCTATTTAAAAAAATGTATTAACAATATGATTGGGTTTTGCAAAAATTTTGTCATTATTTGCTTTTTTAACTCTTGGGTTTTTAAACGCTCAAATTTTACTTGAATAATGTGTCGGGTATTTTAAAAGTTCAAAAATTTTCTTGTCAAATTGCTTTGAAATGGGTTTTGATAAAATATTTGAGAATTTTCGAAATTCTAATGTGTACCCTAAAAGGCTTCAGTAGGCTTGATATAGATTCATTTCCCAAAACATTATTTTTGAAAAAATTCAAATATAGTCCTCAAGTCATTTTAACACCTCATTGCGCTCTATTTTAAGTGATAAAGGATTTTGAAGTTGTGAAATTATCTGCCAAAGGTGATAACCTATCTGGTAGCCTATAAACTCTGAACCATCCTAATGTTAACTGTCCTCGAACAAGATATAAGACTGTCAATAAGACAAATAGCAAGGTGTACAGGCAAATCAGATGCCAATATGCACACAATTCTTAACAAGTGTTTGTACTTTAAAAAAGGCTGTCACTAGGTATATAGTCGGTTTGCACAGCGATTAATGAAAGAAGCAATGCTTTAAATGTGTCCAGATATTTTTAAGAAAATTTAAGAGCTGGGACAGTGTGGTTACTTGTATCAGAAGCCAAGATTGTTGGACATGTTTCTACAAGTAAATGGGACAGTTCTTCAAATATTTTCCATCTGGCCATACAGCCACTATATGTGCTATAAAACTTTTGAAGAAATATAAGCAAAGTATGTTCAGTGATATGGGCTCGTCTTACAAGTGAGACAGTGTTAAAGAAACTCCAAAGAGGACTTAAATAAGTTAAAAAGATCTCTTTGCAGTCTCATACATCATACCCAAACACACACTGAAGCAAGTTCATATATCTGCTGTTAAAATTGGATATAAGGTTTGTTACAATAAAAAGGTTTTGATCAAAGCATGTAAGAAACGGATCATGTAAGAAGTCCGTATCTTTATTTTTGCCCGCCCTTCGTATAAAATATGATAAACTGAGTTGAAAAGAGTATAAAAGTGAAACATCTGAAGAAATTTACCTCATGTGTTTATCCTCGTTCATTGTCGTGTTAGATTAGTAAGTTTGATAAAATACCAATCTCCTGTAAACAAGTGACAAATTGTTTAAAGCTGCTATCCCATACATTGTAGTTCGGGGGTTTTTGAAATAAATTGTCATCAAAAGATATAATTTGGGCAAAGGCTCGTATATCTATATGGAACTAGCTGATTAATGTCTTGTCCGACGAAAAAAAATCTCTTAGTAAGATTTGCAATGTTTATAATGCAGAAATTATTAACCTTTGCAACGCTTTATTTTGTAAATATTGGCTTAATTTATAAATACACCCGTTAACTGTTTGCACTTAGATTCGTTGGTTGCGGATAGAAAAGCTGTGCTCTTTATCCTGCAATCAATTTCTTTACAATATATCATATAAAAGAAGAGACAAAAACAAGAGGTACATATCCCGGAAATTCGGTTTAAAACTGACATTTATGTAGTCGGTTCTTCCTTCATCAAACTGTCCTGCTGGCTTCATGTTAACGGGCGTGATAATAGGGGGTGCTAATATCTGTGTCAAGTGAGACATGACAACCTTTAGGTCACAATTATCTCGTTGAAACTGCAAAATTTACTTCTATGCATATTTAATAACTCTTCACAAGATTTGGTAAGACATCCATGGCACTGTAAAAGTCATTCTTTCCCAAACAAATGTAAAAATATCAAGATATGTTGTTGGTGTAGAGTGTACCTCTTCAAAGTTTATGCAAATTATTTCATGTGAATACAAATGAGAAGCCTGAGATTTCAATCATAAATAAGCCTTTGATTTGTGCATAGTGTACCTATCCGAGCAAAGTTTAAGCATACTATTTCATTGGGCTCCAAATGAAAAACGCGTGATTTTAATCTGAAATAAGCTTCCGAGCTTAATTTGTGATCCTTGCTGGTTCTGACAATTCTAGAGCAATTGATGACAAAATATTTACATGATCACTTAAATGAAGACAATGAAGTTAAAAGATTGTATTTTATTTTATGCTTTTCAGTGGATTACTAATTTATCCGTGAAAATTATATTTGATAAATTCACTGTGAAAATTATCAAGATATGATTTCACGTCTTTTCAATGACGAAACTATTTTTTAAAGATTTTCCCCATGTGGCACCTCAATTTTACTTTTCCTGACAATTCTGACAATGTCAGGCTGTTTAGAGAAAGTAAAGCTGAAATTAATAAATAACTTTATTGTCAAAAGTAATAAAAAGAAGAAAACTTACTTTTATTCATTCAAATTACCAATCACCAAATATCGTCTCTAATTATTTTGTTTCATTTTACAGTCTGAAAAATTCATTCCTTCCATAAGCAAAACTGCTCTTGATGACTTTTGGGCATATTTAAGTACCCTACGAGCAATAACTGTGGTATGCTTTATGTAAACTTGAAATGCAATGACAGCCATCAGCCCGAAGAATAAGTAAACAACCCAGCGTTCGTAAGAATTCCAAGTTTTCCAATTTTCCTAGCCGATTTTTGAATTTCCACATCTGTCCACACTTATTTATTGTCTATTACATGAATAATATCACCGCCATTTTACGTTGATTGTCGAACTTATTTTTCAGCCCAAGACTTCTTGTATTTTATGAGAAATTCGACTAATACATATAATGTACATAATAGAGACTACCAGTTGGGAAAACAAATTTTAATATTAACGTTAATATTAAGGAAATTTCGTTTTAACTTGTTTTTAAGCATAAAATAAAAAGAAAATGTGCTTGTTTGTTGTGTAAGATGTAATTTTATTTCATCTCGTGAACTTTAAAAATATTCTCACTCGTGGGCTACTCGTGAGATTGCTGTTTTTAAAGCCCACTCGATGAAATAAAATTTCATCTTACACACAAACAAACAAATATCCTTAACATTTTAAGAAAATAAATCTACTACCTTTAACCGCCCTATATGTACAAGCGTAAGTGTATGTATTTAAATATTAGATAATTAACTGCTATCCCATACATTGTAGTTCGGGGGTTTTTGAAATAAATTGTCATCAAAAGATATAATTTGGGCAAAGGCTCGTATATCTATATGGAACTAGCTGATTAATGTCTTGTCCGACGAAAAAAAATCTCTTAGTAAGATTTGCAATGTTTATAATGCAGAAATTATTAACCTTTGCAACTCTCTATTTTGTAAATATTGGCTTAATTTATAAATACACCCTTTAACTGTGTGCACTTAGATTCGTTGGTTGCGGATAGAAAAGCTGTGCTCTTTATCCTGCAATCAATTTCTTTACAATATATCATATAAAAGAAGAGACAAAACAAGAGGTACATATCCCGGAAATTCGGTTTAAAACTGACATTTATGTAGTCGGTTCTTCCTTCATCAAACTGTCCTGCTGGCTTCATGTTAACGGGCGTGATAATAGGGGGTGCTAATATCTGTGTCAAGTGAGACATGACAACCTTTAGGTCACAATTATCTCGTTGAAACTGCAAAATTTACTTCTATGCATATTTAATAACTCTTCACAAGATTTGGTAAGACATCCATGGCACTGTAAAAGTCATTCTTTCCCAAACAAATGTAAAAATATCAAGATATGTTGTTGGTGTAGAGTGTACCTCTTCAAAGTTTATGCAAATTATTTCATGTGAATACAAATGAGAAGCCTGAGATTTCAATCATAAATAAGCCTTTGATTTGTGCATAGTGTACCTATCCGAGCAAAGTTTAAGCATACTATTTCATTGGGCTCCAAATGAAAAACGCGTGATTTTAATCTGAAATAAGCTTCCGAGCTTAATTTGTGATCCTTGCTGGTTCTGACAATTCTAGAGCAATTGATGACAAAATATTTACATGATCACTTAAATGAAGACAATGAAGTTAAAAGATTGTATTTTATTTTATGCTTTTCAGTGGATTACTAATTTATCCGTGAAAATTATATTTGATAAAATTCACTGTGAAAATTATCAAGATATGATTTCACGTCTTTTCAATGACGAAACTATTTTTTAAAGATTTTCCCCATGTGGCACCTCAATTTTACTTTTCCTGACAATTCTGACAATGTCAGGCTGTTTAGAGAAAGTAAAGCTGAAATTAATAAATAACTTTATTGTCAAAAGTAATAAAAAAAGAAGAAAACTTACTTTTATTCATTCAAATTACCAATCACCAAAATATCGTCTCTAATTATTTTGTTTCATTTTACAGTCTGAAAAAATTCATTCCTTCCATAAGCAAAACTGCTCTTGATGACTTTTGGGCATATTTAAGTACCCTACGAGCAATAACTGTGGTATGCTTTATGTAAACTTGAATGCAATGACAGCCATCAGCCCGAAGAATAAGTAAACAACCCAGCGTTCGTAAGAATTCCAAGTTTTCCAATTTTCCTAGCCGATTTTTGAATTTCCACATCTGTCCACACTTATTTATTGTCTATTACATGAATAATATCACCGCCATTTTACGTTGATTGTCGAACTTATTTTTCAGCCCAAGACTTCTTGTATTTTATGAGAAATTCGACTAATACATATAATGTACATAATAGAGACTACCAGTTGGGAAAACAAATTTTAATATTAACGTTAATATTAAGGAAATTTCGTTTTAACTTGTTTTAAGCATAAAATAAAAAAGAAAATGTGCTTGTTTGTTGTGTAAGATGTAATTTTATTTCATCTCGTGAACTTTAAAAATATTCTCACTCGTGGGCTACTCGTGAGATTGCTGTTTTTAAAGCCCACTCGATGAAATAAAATTTCATCTTACACACAAACAAACAAATATCCTTAACATTTTAAGAAAATAAATCTACTACCTTTAACCGCCCTATATGTACAAGCGTAAGTGTATGTATTTAAATATTAGATAATTAACTGCAGCATCCTTCTAACCAGATAACTTGGCCAACGTCTAAAGTTTAAGAAGACATATATTTGCCCTAGTTTACCCTTGATAATCTTATCTGACACTTGCTAACTGTAGCAGCAAGTGTATGCGAAATAAATAAAGCTGGATTCATAATCAACAATGATACAAAATGATATATTTGTACGTAAAAAGAGCATATACGATGTTGCATAAGCTTTTGGAATATTGAATTAGTAGTAACAATCCATGTACCGACTGAATATTTGTTCTGGGTTTTCCCATGCAGATAACGTTTAAGAGACTTCAATATTGATAAAGATAAAAAATGAGTCACAAACAGTATAGAGTCCTGCTCAATGATAGCAAAAGCCAGTTTCCTTCGGTTCCAGTACCTTAAGTGTAATCCAATGGTGTGATAAATTGTCTCTGAACTAACGAGAGTTTATCAAGCAAATGATGAAATTGTTGAAAAAGACAGAAAACTACAGAGTGTCTCGCACTTTAAGAAAGTATTCGCCAACAGGTCTGCCAAATATATATTAAAATAGCCTCTTACCATAAAATTACAGGCATTTTCCAAGATTGTCCCAAAATACGCCCATTAATTTGAATCTAAAATTAGATCTAGTAAATTAATTATTTTTTTGATATTGTCCGACAATACATGAGAGATTTAATCCGATTCGGCTATATATTTTTTTTCAATAATTCTAGGAGAAGAGTTTGTGAGATGACCAGACAAATGAATTAAACTGAGCTTTTACATGCATTACTGTGATTCAGAAAGCTCTCACACAGTCACCATTGTAACAGTAAGATCGGATGTTTGTTTCAATTCAAAAACAGCTTCAGATGTCCATTGGTTGTAACCAAGGAGCATTCAACGTGACACATACATGCCATCCCGACATATGATTCCTTAGAAAAAAACATGTGCACCGTGTCAGTAAACTTATATCTATATACATAAATTCCATGACATTCATTGCTGACAAAAACATGTTTTAAGTTATTTGATGCCAATGACTTTTGATGACTATTGCTGCTTTTAGTGGTATGGAAAAAGATTATGAACTCATGTTGGTTTTTTGTTGTTGTTAACGCATATGTTTGTTACTACTTACTCTGTTAGCCATAACCTTATCAGGGGCCATTTAACTATTTCAAAAAATTCTCTAGAAAAAAAAAACCTACCAAAAGGAAAGCATTCCTCTTGAAGATTTGGAAATATCGATCCATCTTTTTACGGAACATGTGAAGGAGTATTGATACCCATGAAGTAAAATTCACTTTCTCTGCTGCTTGCTTTAATATGAAAGCCCGGACTGAGTCATCCAGTGACAGTTTTACCCTCGTATTGTATATGAATAAATATGCAATCAAGCACATGTTGATTTTATTTTAATACTACTCTGACGTCCTCAAAATCTTTATGTTAAACAGTTAGTGCATTAACCCTATTACTATTAATTGTGAAAACCATATTCACTTGTTTCAAGACTTATTACTCTTTTCTTTTTACATATAATGTTTAAATAAATATAACGTTTTGTATAAATAAAGTAGGTAACAGTTAATTAAATTTAAGATTTATATGTGGATAATATAACGAAACAAGGGCATCACTGATAACTATCATAATGTCAACAATTTATCTTATTGTGATTATATAATATTTAATCACTTTACCTAGTTATAAAATCAACTTAGTTTACATACTAAACCTGTGTCACAAAACATTCATGTATTGTTTCACGGTGCACAGATTGACATCGTAAGGATAGGATAGGGTTTATTAAACAGACTTGACGGCAGGTAGAATGTTGGACAGTGAAATAGGCGAAACGGAATCGAATTTCGGAAGGTGCGAGTCACTTTAGTTGTAGTTGATCATGACAAGTAATTTATGGTCAAACACATTGTACCCTTGCACTTGTATGTACAGTAGTTATTAGTTCTTTGCCAAAGTGAAGGTTATTAGTACATGTATTGGTAGACTGCTTAGCAGACTGTCAAGGAATGACATTCATGTCATTTCTGACAACCACTAGGTATCTGTCAAGTATTCCTTGGAGCTTGGTATAAAAATTATCTCAGCTATTTTTTACATTTTTTTATTTACTTTGTGTTGATTAATTTACTAAATGCTCCACTTGCTTGGTATGAATCGTACTCTGTTGGATTGACTGAATCTATACGTCTGGCAAATATCAGTACAATAATTTGTGTTCTGTAGTCCTGCAGGAGTTCATCTTACTTCGCTCATGTCCAGTAGCTCCAACCAATTAAAAACTACATGTCTACCTTGGGAATCGTGACAGTACGTACATCATTTTAGACATTCCCTATTTTGTGCGTGAAAAAATGTTAATTTTAAGATACTTTATCAACATTAAATAACTCTATTATTGCAAATGTTCCGTCGTGTATCGGAAAGTAACATGTTAGTAATATGAATAACTTTTGTTCGTCGTCGTTGTTGTCGGCTTCCTGCAAAATCTAAAATGTAGCCCAATGTTCAAACATTATAAAAATTATTAACATAAAACTTGGACACAGTACCATTTTCAAGAGTGCCAGAGAGGTAGAAAAGTAAAACTTACATGTGCTTTATTTCATATTTACTCATATACAATTCGAGTTTAAGCTGCACACGGTGCATTTGTTAGACAATGGACATAATTCCGAAAGCTATATTTTGGACTTATATCCCTTTTTAACTTAAAAGTTTTTGTCAAAGTGGTAATTTTTGCAGACGAGTATTATTACCGCAAACAGTGCTCTTGTTTTAAATGTTTACAACTGTAATTATTGTCTTTCTTTACGGTAGGCTGATTTTACTGATCTTAATTCTAAATATGTTATACATTTATTTATATATACAGTACATCTTGTTGTTACATGCTGAGGTCAAAGTATCTTCACATGATTTAAACAACTAGTAATCGCGCATAATACAAAGCGCTGATTAAAAGTCTTATGTTTCATATTTAGTTTAGATACGTGTTTGTAAGTCGGAACGGTTGAAATTAAATCTGTCTGCGTCGCGCGTGACAGATTGATATACTTTTTGCTGACTTTATAAACACTGACCTAGTTACGGTTGACATTTAACAAAGTGCAAGTGATACACTGATTTAGAAAGTCTGTGCTGATTAAAAACATTGAATGTATAAAAGAATTTGCAAAAATGGAACGATTTTATGGGACAAAAATAATTTCAACCTCAAATAAATATAAAGTTCCATTTATGTGTTATGTTATCAAAACATAATATGGCTAGATATCAAAAGATGCAATGGTATTGCGCAATTAAATAGTAGCAAATTAAACTTTTCCTGTATTATATGTTTTGAAATAAAAAAAGAAAAAGAAATTTATTTCATCAAGACAATCCAAAGTGAATTGTTACTGTTACGTGCATGGGATGGCTGTTATATAGAAATGATTGGTACAATAAACATTAATTATAGGTATATATTTTTTCTTATGGCTTCTTTGCCAGTTGATTGGTTACAAATGATTAGAAAATGATTTGTTCAAACGTTTAAATCAATTTTAATTAAAATAGTGTTTATAACAGTAACGTACTTTTATAGATGATATTTACTTGATAAAAATGAGGCTATTTAATATATATAATAACTACTTGTATATCGAGTTTTCAATGCTTTAGTATTAACAATTACACCTATCGCACTGTTAAATAGACTTCATAAATAATCCAAGAATCCAAGTAATTAATCTGAAATATGAGATAATAATTTTTGTGATGTTCACACTTCGGCAGCTGGACAGAGACTGACTGCCCATAGCTTTGAGCTGTGTGTTTGTGTGCGTGTGTGCGTGCGTGCGTGCGTGCGTGTTTTATGTGAAATAAGGGTCCATCCGCCATTTCGGACACTGAGAGTACACAGACCACGGGCATGTCACCAATCATATCCATAAAGTGTTAAGTTACCAGGCGGTGACTTATTCATTTTGAATCCTGAACTTCACTGAATGTGACTAAATATATGTTGTTGTTTTTTTTTGTTGTTGATTTTGGTTTGTTTGTTTGTTGTTTTCTTTTTATTTGTTGTTGTTGCTGTTGTTTCTTTGCCAAAATAAAAAAATCAAGTATACCGAACCCTGTACGTTCATATGGGACTGGCATGTTTGGTTTGTTTTGTTTTTTTGTTGTTTTTTTTTTGTTGTTGTTGTTTTTTTGGGGGGGGGTTTCGTTGTTGTTTTGTTGTTGTTGTTTTTTATCATTATTATTATTTTCTTTTTCAATGTCATTTTTATAATTCAAAAATTCAACAATAATAGGAATAAAACAATTGTCAAGTAGTACAACTACAAAACTAAACATGCACAAGAAGGAACAATATTTTTCATGAACGAAAAAAGGCAGCTGGACAGAGACTGACTGCCCATAGCTTTGAGCTGTGTGTCTGTGTGCGTGTGTGCGTGTGTGCGTGCGTGCGTGCGTGTTTTATGTGAAATAAGGGTCTATCCGCCATTTCAGACACTGAGAGTACACAGACCACGGGCATGTCACCAATCATATCCATAAAGTGTTAAGTTACCAGGCGGTGACTTATTCATTTTGAATCCTGAACTTCACTGAATGTGACTAAATATATGTTGTTGTTATTTTTTGTTGTTGATTTTGGTTTGTTTGTTTGTTGTTTTCTTTTTATTTGTTGTTGTTGCTGTTGTTTCTTTGCCAAAATAAAAAAGATCAAGTATACCGAACCCTGTACGTTCATATGGGACTGGCATGTTTGGTTTGGTTTTTATTGTTTTTTTTTGTTGTTGTTGTTGTTGTTTTTTTTTGGGGGGGGGGGTTTCGTTGTTGTTTTGTTGTTGTTGTTTTTTATTATTATTATTATTTTCTTTTTCAATGTCATTTTTATTATTCAAAAATTCAACAATAATAGGAATAAAACAATTGTCAAGTAGTATAACTACAAAACTAAACATGCACAAGAAGGAACAATATTTTTCATGAACGAAAAAAGGCTTCTGTTCCATCTTTCTTTTATATTCTCTAATTATTGATGATATTTAGAATATATTCAATTCTATCATTCGCAACCCTAGCAGACATCAAATGTTTATTCATTCGATTTTTCACGATAGTAAATGTTTTCTTTCGTCATATGCAGTATCCGTTTAAACAGACGGTTTTCAACATTGTTCGTTTTCCGGGTATACTTATTATTATAGTTATACACCTTAGCTAGTATATTATGTAGCTTTAATATAATATGTTGTCTTATTTTTTTTATTATACTCGTGTTCAATGGTCTTTGTATTGAAATGCGTTATAATTCCTTGTTTATTTATATTTAAGCTTATTATGTGATATGAATTAATTTGCTTTATGATTCATTTTTTAATTTAATTTGTAAATTTTTTTATGAACTTAAGCACTGTGGTACGAATTTGGCGAGCTATTTCCAGTGGCCGATCCAAAAGTGTCTTTTTGTTTATTGTCACTACTCCAAGTTTATATATGGATGATTCTATTTCTACTATCAAACAAATGTGGCATAATAGTTTTAATATCGCATAAGCGGCAATAATCAGTAAACATAAGAAATTTATAATGACATTATTTCTTTCGCATGTTCAACCGAATTTTGTCACATAGCACATGAAATATTGCATTTTGTGATGTTCACTTTTTGACATACATTTCGATCTTTCATGCAAACCGAAAAAAAAACATTCTCTACTTAAAACGAAAAATGCTTTTAAAACATTTGTTGAATACATGCATGTTATATGACACATTTATGCACACAGTATTGATAAAACACGCAGACCGAGACGGGTGGTGCATATTAATTACCAAAAACTACTTGACATTATACTCAGCATGCACTCGATACAGGACATAAAAATGGCAGCGCAGTTGAATTTATTTGGAAAAAAATTTTAGTGACGGGTGCAGGAAGAGGTATCGGTCGAGCCATTTCTATCGCTCTAACTAAACAGGGAAGCAATGTTTACGCGTTAAGCCGAACACCATCCTCGTTAGAATCGCTTGTTAAAGAACATAAATCAATCGTGCCAATCGTTGGAGATGTAAATGATTGGGAGGATACTAAAAGAAAAATTGAAGATTTGAAAGTGATGGATGGACTAGTAAATAATGCCGGAATAATAAACGAATACACAGGATTTCAGTCGTTAACCAAACAACAGTTGTGTACATATTTGGAAACCAATCTGCTCGGTGCTATCAACGTCACAAAAGTTGTCGCGGAGAAAATGATCAAAGAAAGAAAACCAGGATCTATAGTGAATGTTTCGAGTATGTCCAGTATAAATATTCTTTACGGTGGAATAATGCCTTACGTTATATCAAAGGCAGGGCTTGATGCAGCAACGCGACAGTTTGCTTACGAGCTTGGACCATATAACATTAGAGTTAACTCAGTCAATCCGAGTCTAGTTTCCGGAACAGACATGACAGATGGGATTGTGAAAAGTAATCCACAGCTTCGTGATAGTACTGAATACAGAACGCCAATGAAAAGGCTTGTAGGAATTGATGATGTCTCTGGTGCCGTGGTTTACTTTCTCAGTGATCTTTCTTTAATGGTGACGGCAACTTGTCATATATTGGACGGCGGTATTACAAACTGCATAATTGTCTAGACATATTTATCACATACCCGTGCCGCTTTTGCGAATCCGTAAAAATGGTTTTACACGGCCGTGTATATATTTTGACGTGACGTCATTTTCATTATAATAAACATTATTATTATAAACATTCAGCGTTATACTATAGTCGCGCAAATGAAAAATGGTTATTTTCACTTCTGACCATCTTTGTTTTTGGTATGTGATAAAAAGAATAATAAATTCATGTAAGTTCATTACTAAATTTATTGAACTCGTAAAAAGAAATAATATTATATTCGCCAGAGGCTCGCATAATATGATTTTATTCAGCTTGTTCAATAATTTCAGTATTTAATATCCTTTATGTAAGGGCTTGAATATAGAATTATAATTATAGTCATGTACCTATTTACAAGGACATATAATCTAAAAAAGGCATTATGATACAATTTTCATTTTGTAATGTTTGTATATTTCATGATAATAAATTATATTTTGAGAGATTTTATTGTTGGTTTCTGTTTTGGCTGTGTAATTGTTGTAAAAACGGGGGGGGTGATTTCTAGTCCAAATTCTTTACTTCTTATACGATATGTCTTTTCAGTGGTTTAATATATCACATAAATGACGAATTTTTAAATATATGGATATCACTTTTGAAGACATACGTGAGATACATTGTAAACATACGTAACCATTGATCAGTCAAGGTGTTTTATCATGCTCACAGTACAAAAATCTGGAAACAAAGTGATCCCTCGGAGGCATTAATCACAATAAAATTACAAGAGAATTGCAGACTCGGTTTAATTGAGTCTGTACATACAAGCCTAGGTTTCATAACGTAATAACAAAGTGTTTGTAGAAACTTTATATCACATATTTAATATGCGATGTAAGTTGTTAAGACTAGAGCAATTACTAGAAATGGGGCAACAATCTTGTTCAATGCAGGTGTCTTTTTTTATAAGTTGGTGTTTTTTGCTTTAATTTTACGAAAGCTCATTATTATCACTAAGGTCCTCGTTTGGAAAGATCATGTCTATTGATAAATACGCACTGTTACATTGCAGAATTGTCATAAAAGGAGAATGGGTTGAATTAATGTCACTCATGAATGGGCCTGCTCATTCCTGAATAGATCAGGAACACATCTTAATTGGAACAGTGTTTTGTTATCAGTTCATTGCAAATGTGATGGTAAACTGCTTGACAGACTGCCCAGGCATGGGATTCATGTCATTTCTGACAGCCACTAGGTACTCTGTAAAGTTCTAGTATTTCTTGTGGCTGGGTATACAAATTATCTTAGATATTTTTACATTTTTTATTTATTTTAGGCAGGGTGTAAATTTAAATTAGTGTTACTTTCTATAACTTAGATCAGAAAGGAAATGTTGCTTAAATTACTGAATGCTCTACTTGCAAGGCATGAACACTACTCTGTTTGAGTGACTGATTCTATTCTTTTGGCAAATCACAATGCAATAATTTGTGTTCTGTAGACTAATAATATCTGTCATATTTTGCGGTTCGGATCGGAATATCCGTCCCGAGGTGATCCGCCCATTGGGCGGTAACGAGGCTTGCCGAGTTACCGCCCATGGGCGGGTGACCGAGGGACGGATATTCCGATCCGAACCGCAAACATATGTCAGATATTTTTTCTTGCATATTCTACCATATTCCATTATATTTTAAATTCTTTATCTTAATTTTCAATGAAAATTTATATCATTAAACCGTTACTACTTTTATTCAACAGCGTATGCATTACAAAATCATTCATAACGGTAAAATGACGTCATCTTTATCGTGCCATTGTACAGCACGCGACTCATCTGGAACCCCCCATGCCAGATGAAATTTCCGGCATGGGTAAAACTAACGGAAACGCCAGTCTGATATGCAAGAAAAGCTTAGCTTTCCTGAAGAAGTCCATCTTACTTCGCTCATGTCCAGTTCCAGTAGCATTTGGTAGTTTAGCGCGGAGGAAGGTAGTCTAGTACTGGTGTAACTCTCCAGGAACGATGGTTAGGAAACTACCCGCCTATATGACTGAAATACTGTTGGAAAAATGCGTAAAATGAAACAAACAAACATCTGTTACGAGGAGCCGGATGATAAAATGTGTGTTATTTCACTACCCACTCCCCATCTTAATTTCTCAATATTTTGAAAACTTGTGTACATTTTTATGTGGATTAAAAATATTCTGTTTGGCATCAATCGGATAAAGGATAATATCAGGTAAAATGAAAACTTAAAATGCATCATCACATATTCTGACTTTTTTCAGCATGCTAATCAACCTCGATTTTCTAGATGATCAAAATTTCTTTAGTTTTAATATTCACTATTTCAACAGTAATAAGGTTGACCTCTTTATTTGCCAAAGATGTATTTCCATAATTTTTACAACAATGTCAATGTCAGGTCTGTGATCGTAAGGGGAAATTCTTAAACAATAATCTTTTCCATGCCTTTTTATGGCAAACTTTGTCACAAAGCTATAAAAGGACATCTTTTAAATATGTTTTTGAATTTCAAAAAAAATCTACTTTTTACCTTAAACTAACTTGGAATTGTCTATGAACTTCTATTATATTTCAAAGAAGGGCGATGCTCTACGCGCGAGAAAATACAACTTCCGATCGATTTTTCATTGCAACAGACTGCGTCGTAAAAAAGGTCTTTATATGTTTTACACCATGATACTGTTTGATTTTATTAGCCTGTGAATGTATTATACGGTCAATGCACCGTGTATTTAAACTTTGTATATTTTGGGAATTCGAGAGATATCCCAATAGATATGATTAAATTTCATTTGCGCTATGAAATATTTAAATAACGTTTTAGTGCCTGAAATACTTTCTAAATTTCATGTTTAATAGACCGAGTAGGTTTTTTATTTCATCATTTTTGAAGCTATAATTTTTTTAAATCTTTCTATTTTTTGTTAAAATAGGTTTACAAATTTTTGGTTTACCGTACTTTTCTTAAAAAACATATTTAAAAAATAAATATTCAAAATCCTTCGGGGTTAAAAAATAAAAATGTATTTCAATGCGGGAAAAAACCAAAACAGAAAAAGCAAAAGTTTTTCTAGGTTCAAATGCTTTATTCCCTGAGACATTTTCAAACACTCAACCCTTTCCCTTTTAAAATATTTAAAAAAAAGAGAAGTAAGTCTAAAACAATATCAATAATAGGGACCTCTCATATATTAGGCAATCACTTAATCGATTGCGCTATTTCTGATGTGTCGATGATCTATGTATTAAGCTTGTATGATTTTTCAAAATATAAGTTATATGCTCCATCACAATTCTCGTAAACTACACGGACAGAACAGAAGTTAGGTCGAATATTTAGTACTATAATTTATTCACAATTGACAAGTCAATAAAATTAGACTACACCTCTCAGTCTTTGATGTGAGGATGTAATCCCCTTTGTGCTTTATTGTAGGGCTGTCTGTATTGGAGAACAGTACCTGTAACTGTAGCTTTTTCCTTTGTACAGTGGATTTCAGGCTAATTTTGAAGCACATAATTATGTACAATTGTGCTTTATCAATAAATAATTATTTTCACCGAAAAAATATCAATTTTCAATAGAATATCGTTAACAGTTTCCTTCTATTTTGGCGTACATACGCAGGTGTTTTTTAAAGCCTTTTTAAGTGTTTAGTTTTAACTATATTCTATAAAGGGGAATCATTTAAGCATTACGAATAAAATCCAACAAAGAAAAAAAACATGATTTCAATTAAGCTGGGGTTGTCATTTGATATACAAATACCACTTTAGTCGTAATGGTATAACCTCTATTGAAAACAATACTCAGACCGTGACGAAGGTTAACCTCAACTACAAAATGAAATTAGTGTAAGCAGTGAAACTCTTGTCCATACACGTATTAAGCTGTAATACTTAGAAAAAACATAAAATGGCAGCGCAGTTGAATTTATTTGGAAAAAACATTTTAGTGACGGGTGCAGGAAGAGGTATTGGTCGTGCTATTTCTATCGGCTCTATCAACAGGGAAGCAATGTTTACGCGTTTTAAAAGCCGAACGCCATCTTCGTTAGAATCGCTTGTTAAAGAACATAAAATCAATCGTGCCAATCGTTTTTGGAGATGTAAATGATTGGAGGATACTAAAAGAAAAAATTGAAGATTTTGAAAGTGATGGATGGCTTAGTCAATAATGCTGGAATAATGAATGACATTGCACCCAGTTCATTCGCTAAACCAGACAAACAGTTGTGTGCAGTTTTGGAAACCAATCTGCTCGGTGCTATTAACTGCACAAATGTGGTCACTGAGAAAATGATCAAAGAAGGAAAATCAGGATCCATAGTGAACGTTTTCGAAGTAATTCTTACTTTGAGCACCGTTTTATGGTGGAATAATGCCTTACGTCATATCAAAAAGCAGGGGCTTGATGCAGCAAAACGCGAACAGTTTGCTTACGAACTGGGACACATGGCATCAGAGTTAACTCTGTAAATCCTGGTCTTGTTTGGGAACAGACATGACAAAATGCGAATTTGAAAAAAGCAATCCGGGCTTCGTGAAAAAATTGAATATAGAACGCCAATGAAAAAGCTTGTTAGAGCTCGATGACGTCACAGGTACCGGTGATTTACTTCCTTAGTGATCTTTCTTCGATGGTGACAGCAACTACTAACATTCATAGATGGTGGAGCCTTGAATTGCATAATTTACTAGTGCTATTTACATGCCTTTGGAGTGTAATAAGAATATTCATAAGGACTCATTTCGTTACATTTTAAGTTATAAAGATTTTAGGTCAGGTTATATGGCCCTAATATAAAACGGTCGTTCCGTAATATAAGCAGAGGATTAAAAATTCCATACAACAATTTGTATTCGTTCATATAACCTGACAGGAATATGTTAACGAATTTATAAATACAGCGATAAAAAGCAACATTTTTTTCATAAATTGACGGAAAAATGTATATAAAACTATATAAACGTGAAGACTATCCAATAATAAGTGACGTCACAAACGTGCAATATTACGAAACAAAGCATATACGGGTTGATTTACTTTTTATTTACCTACATTTAAATTGAATAAAATAGTATTATTCAAGTCATACAAAGATTGTATTTTTTGACATGAAACAAAAAAGAATGGAATTCAATGGACCTATTCGTTTTAATGTGAAACATTAGTTTCTCATTTAGTATCCGGATTATAATGGTTATGATAACTGTTAGAATCCAATGAATCCAAAAACATCCTTTTGTACAGGATGTTTGAATATAAATCAAACTGTATGAAAAATTCATTTATCAAGACAGAAAAAATTAATGTTTTTGTTATTCATTGTACAAACATCCCTTTTTAAAAGATCTACAAACTTATGAAAAAAAAATTTAAAAGTTTTAAATGTTTTTTTGTTTCCCCTTTTTCGTAAAAAACCAAAGCAGAAAATTTTTTTCAAGTTTTCTATATATTTTCAATGCAAAAACTTAAAAATTGGGGTTCTAATTTCGCATTCGTGATTTTCTTTTGCTCGGACTTCATCTTTCGTTGCAATTATCGTGACTTCCTCTCAGTAGACCTAGGGTATAAATCTATATCTTTTGAATGTTTTAATAACATTTATCAACAGTAAAATTATGTTAGTTCCATTATTATATGGTTGATTTCCGAAAAAGTTGTTCCATAAAATGTCTCTGTTATTTAATACACACGAATAATAAGAATAATGTGCGTCAACAGAATATAATCTTCCGTAACAAAATATTATTTTGCTATTTTAAGAAGGGTTTTATCCGTTTATCAATGATTCTGTGCATGCCCCATTCGCGTTTAAGGCAATAAATTACCATATTTATTTCATGAAAGCATTTTGGAAGTATACTTTTTTTAAAATTCAAACAATTATTTGTTGCATCAGATATATAGCTTTATACACTTAAAACTATAAACAATGGACGACGTATTGATTTTACTTTTACGATGATCATATTTAGAATGAGGTATTGTAGATATAAAGTAACCTTCGTCTTTCGTCTAAATATATTTCATTTTTCAAGTTGACTTAACCCTTGATCAGGTCGAAAAAAAATATGTTTGAGTGAAAAACAAGTATGAAGTATTCCTAGTAAATGCTCTGTTACATCGATTCTAAACTAACAGAAAATCTACAAAATTATGAAATTAATAAATTTCTACCAGTCCACCATAATATTATTAAAGTATGAAATGCGTAGACAATCGAATCATCAAGGGTATTGAAGCTATAATTGTTTTATATCTTGCTAATTTTGTTCTAATAGGTTTTGCAATTATTTTGGTTAAGTCTGTACTTTCTTCTTAATAACATGATTTTAAGAATAAATATTCAAAATCCATTCGGGTTAAAAACTAAAAATGTCATTTCAATGCCGTAAAACACATTACAAACGAGACGAAACAGTTTTTCTAGGTTCAAACTGCTTTATATCCCTCTAGACAATTTTCAAACACCCAACCATTTCCACTTAAATGCACTGCAAAAATAAAGAAGAATAAGTCTAAAACAATAGCAGCAATAGGGACCCCTCATATATTAGGCAATCACTTAACGGATTGTGCTATTTCTGATGTGTCGATGATCTATGTATTAAGCTTGTTTGACTGTCTGCGACAAGTACTGTTTGCCCCGTACTTTACTTCAGTGTTGTTATATTTTTCTGGTCTATCCGGATCATTGAAAATGCGACAATCTTAAAAACTTCCAGTAGTCACTGATAATCAGCACTATTAAGTGTTGAGAATTGAGTACCGATCAAGCCGGTGCTAGGGGGCGCGAGGGATGTTGCACTTATTCATTATCCCTCATGTACAGACTCAATCAAACCGAGTCTGCAATTTTTATGTAATTTTGTTGTGATTAATGCTTCCGAGGGATCACTTTGTTTCCAGATTTTTTTTTCAATATATAAGTTAAACCCCTGTCACATTATAGCTTAGGATTACTTGCGACTACCGGCGATTGTCTGCGACCAAGCCCTCTTTGAACAGATAAATTTACTCTTGCGATTATTGTACGACCAATCATCATTGACAAACGCACGACAGGTCATCAGCAAACGTACGAGGGTCTCAAGATTGCCTGGGATTAGTTAGGACTACCCGTGACCTGTCATGCGATCACCTTCAACTTGTCGTACGACCATCACACGATTACTAAAGACTACTCAAGATTATCAGTGACTACTGGCAATTTGTAAGATTGTCGCATTTTCGAGCGACGATCGTGCGACAGCTTAAGACCTTATAAGATCACTAGCAACCTGTCTGATCGCAGAGAGATATTTGTGCAAGCTCAGAAACCTCTCTACGACTGAAATTGGTCGTGGGACCTAAATAATATAACCTGCGACTATTGAAGATCACCAATGACCGTCGTAAGACGTTTTAAAGATTGTCCGCGACCAGTGGTCACTGGTGATCGTGAACTGGTCTTTACTGGTCGTAAACTCTAATGTGACTTGGGCTTTATATGCTCCATGTCAATTCTCATAAACTACACGGACAGAACCGAAGTTGGGTCGAATATTTAAATCAGTACTATAATATATTCAATATTAACAAGTCAATAAAATTAGACTATACATGTGAGGATGTAATCCCCTTACGTAAGTTTTATTGTAGGGCTCTCTGTATTGGGAAAAAGTACCTGTAACTGTAGCTTTTTCCTTTGTACAGGGGAATTTCAGGCTAATGTTTGAAGCACATGCATACAATTGTGCTTGATCAATATGTAATTATTTTCACAGAGAAACATCAATTTTCAATAGAATATCGTTAAAAGTTTCGATCCTTCTATTTTGGCGTACAAAGAAAGGCAGGCGTTGTTTAAAGCTTTTTTAAGTGGGGGGATTTTTGTTAAGTTTTAACTATATACTATAAAAGGGGAACCATTTAAGCATTACGAACAAAATCCAACAAAGAAAAAAACATGATATCAATAAAGCTAGGGTTGTCATTTGATATACAAATACCACTTAAGTCGTAAAGGTATCCTCTATTGAAAACAATATTTAGACCGCGACAAAGGTTAACCTCAACTACAAAATGAAATTCATGTAAGCAGTTAAACTCTTATCCATACATGTATTAAGCTGTAATACTTAAAACATAAAATGGCCGCACAATTGAATTTACTTGGAAAAAACATTTTAGTGACGGGTGCAGGAAGAGGTATTGGTCGTGCTATTTCTATCACTCTATCTAAACAGGGAAGCAATGTTTACGCGTTAAGCCGAACGCCATCTTCGTTAGAATCGCTTGTTAAAGAACATAAATCAATCGTGCCAATCGTTGGAGATGTAAATGATTGGGAGGATACTAAAAGAAAAATTGAAGATTTGAAAGTGATGGATGGCTTAGTCAATAATGCTGGAATAATGAATGACTTTGCACCAGTTCATTCGCTAACCAGACAACAGTTGTGTGCAGTTTTGGAAACCAATCTGCTCGGTGCTATTAACTGCACAAATGTGGTCACTGAGAAAATGATCAAAGAAGGAAAATCAGGATCCATAGTGAACGTTTCGAGTAATTCTACTTTGAGCACCGTTTATGGTGGAATAATGCCTTACGTCATATCAAAAGCAGGGCTTGATGCAGCAACGCGACAGTTTGCTTACGAACTGGGACCACATGGCATCAGAGTTAACTCTGTAAATCCTGGTCTTGTTTGGGGAACAGACATGACAAATGCGAATTTGAAAAGCAATCCGGAGCTTCGTGAAAAAATTGAATATAGAACGCCAATGAAAAAGCTTGTAGAGCTTGATGACGTCACAGGTACCGTGATTTACTTCCTTAGTGATCTTTCTTCGATGGTGACGGCAACTGCTAACATCATAGATGGTGGAGCCTTGAATTGCATAATTTACTAGTGCTATTTACATGCCTTTGGAGTGAAAAAAAAATACAAAATGTATTCATAAGGACTTCATTTCGTTACATTTTAAGTTATAAAGATTTTAGGTCAGGTTATATGGCTCTATATAAACGGTCGTTCGTAAATATAGCAGAGGATTATATTCCATACAATAATTTGTATTCGTTCATATAACCTGACAGGAATATGTTAACGAATTTATAATACAGCGATAAAAAGCAACATTTTTTTCATAAATTGACGGAAAAATGTATATAAAACTATATAAACGTGAAGACTATCCAATAATAAGTGACGTCACAAACGTGCAATATTACGAAACAAAGCATATACGGGTTGATTTACTTTTTATTTACCTACATTTAAATTGAATAAAATAGTATTATTCAAGTCATGAAAAGATTGTATTTTTTACATGAAACAAAAAAGAATGGAATTCAATGGACCTATTCGTTTGAATGTGAAACATTAGTTTTCATTTATTATCAGGATTATGATGGATATGATAACTGTTAGAATCCAATGAAAAACTACTTTATGTATACCAAGTGAAAACAGACATGGAGACGCAATCAAGTTTTGATCGGAGTAAGTGGTTAACTTTGAACAAAAAAGATCCTTTTATACAGGAAGTTTGAATATAAAGCCTTAACTACGAAATATTCATTTATCAAGACAGAAAAATATATAGTGTTGTGTTATTCAGTCGCATAAGCATAACTCTATGTAAATGATATTACTTTTGAAAAAGAGATTCAAATATTACATTGTTTTATAATTTTCTGTTTATCAAAACCTTAAGCAGAGTATTTCTCAAGTTTACTACAGTATTTTCAATGCATTCTTAAATTGATTCTAATTACGTCATTTATGATTGCTCTTTGCGTCGGACTTCTTCATCTTGCGTTGCAATTATCTTGACTTTCTCTCAGTAGACCTAGGGTATAAATCTATATCTTTTGAAATATTTTAATAAAATTTATCAACAGCAAAATTATGTTAGTTCCATTATTATATGGTTGATTCCCGAAAAAGTTGTTCCACAGAATGCCTCTGTTATTTAATACACACGAAAAATAAGAATAATGTGCGTTAACAGAATAAAATCTTCCGGAACAAAATATTATATTGCTATTTTAAGTAGGGTTTTATCCGTTTATCAATGATTTTGTGCATGCGCCATTCGCGTTTAAGGCAATAAATTACCATATTTATTTCATACAAGCATTTTGGAAGTATGCTTTTTTAAAATCCAAACAATTATTTTTGCATCAGATATATAGCTTTATACACTTTAAATTAAACTATAAACAATGGACGACGTATTGATTTTGCTTTTACGATGATCAAACAGCGATTTAAATGATATTTAGAATGTGGTATTGTATATATTGTAGTAACCTGTGTCTTTCATCTAAATATTTTTCATTTTTCCAGTTAGACTTAACTCTTGATCAGGTAGAAAAAAGTATGTACGAGTGAAAAACAAGTATGAAGTGTTACTAATAAATGTTCTGTAACATCGATTCTAAACTAACAGAAAATCTACAAACTTATGAAATTAATAAATTTCTACCTGTCCACCATATTAAAGTATGTAATGCGTAGACAATCAAATCATCAAGGTAATAATGACACAAACTTTGAAAAATTGAATAACAGTGAAATATGGTAACATTTGTATATATATACATGTAAGTCCATATTTGTACATGTTAGGCTATTTCAATCGTTTTTATTGAGAATATTTCATCATTTCGGATGCCATGATGCCATGGTATGACGTACATCATCCTAAATTGTTTTTTTAATTGCGGTTCATGTGAATTTTGAATCATGTCATATTTGAATATTATTTATTTATCCAGGTCTGCCTTGCTTATAAGTTTACTATTATTTTTTTATTTCACTCTAACATTGCCCTTATTCCTAATTCGCTACAATGCTATATTAGAATTATAGGCTTTGGTCATTAGAGACCCGTTTAACATGTTGATGTTAATTCGTATTCCGTTATCGAAACAATTATTATGTCTAGTTTTATTTTAGCTCGGCGCCGGGAATTTTTTTTTTCGAAAATTAGGTTATGCGGTATCCATGTGGGTTATGGGGAGTTTTTTAAAGATTTCCTCAAACCTTTTTTCCTTGAAAAATGGCAAAGAATGTTCCGTCGGACAACAGGCAGTAACATAAAACGGCTCTTGTCAGTCCCACCCTTCCGAGTTAGTCACGACGCGACAGGTCAACAAATCATCTCTGGTACTCGAGATGATTTGACCTTGACCTGTCGTGTGCCTTCTCCGCGAGAGGGATTTGGAGGAATCGAAACAAGTCGGATATTATTCATAATAACCGGGTTGAAAGTAATTCTACCACCTAGTTCTAGATGTTAACAAAAACAGAGGGTGTAATAATTTTTGACGTGTAACGAATGATTATATTTGACATCCAAAGGAAAATAAAGTATATATGTCGGTAAAATACTGATTGAAATATGTCTAACAATCATAATTAATTTAAAAATGCCCACTGATAACCAAATCTGTACAATTTTGTACTTTCAATAATAGTAAGTAATAAGTATACAAATAATGTACTGCTTACTTTCATATCTATGGATATACTTAACTTAGATAGACTCAATATATTGGGGGAAAAATAGTCAACAACTACTAGCATTAAATTACTATAAGTTTACATGTTCACTTTTTTACCATATGTTAGACAGATATATCTGTTCTGTGTATTCTTACGATTGTGTTCGAGGTTCTAATCCGAAGTTTAAAGTTTGATGGAAAGGACTGAGAAGATGCGATCGACTTTGAAGATCTAGTAGATGAAAACATAACTTAAGACTAGTTGAGCCTAAATTGATCAATATGAGGAAATAAAACATCATTAAACTTCAAAATCATTTTTAATAAAAATCAAAATTACATGTGTTACCTTAAACATGGTGAAAAGAAATGATAATGGTTTTTTAGAAAATAAACAAAGTAGAACAAAAAAACTCATATAAATAAAAAAAACAATTGAGCGTAAAAGATAATTCTAATAATTCGTTTAGGTAATTTTTTTTCAAAAAGAACAAAAATAAATAAAATAATGATTGAAACTTTTATTTGATCAAAATCTAAAATCATAGAATTTGATTTTGAAAAATAAACATAGCTAGGTACTTAAGAAATAATTAAAGCAAAATAAAAATTTTACACATTTTTGTTACAGTGACCTTTACAGAAAACTGTAAATATTTTAGGTAAGTTCATAGTCACTGGTAAGTAAATGTTAACAGTATCTCAATGATATGATAAACAGAAGAATATTAAACTACTAAGAACTTATCTATTTTATATAAAATAAAAAAAAGAAACAAACTATAGAACCGAGACAATAAACTTAACAAAACAATACTGGCATTTTTTTTAAATTTCAAGTCTAAACAATTTAGGATGGTGGTGTTACTTGTTTTTTAATTGTTTCTCTGAAGTAAAATTGCAACTTGAAAAGTAATTAAATAATTATTAATTGCAACATATTCATAAACATTAGAAACTCCTAAAGAAATAAATTATCTTACATAGAAAAGAAAACAAACTTTTGAGAAAAATTGGCCCTTGCTTTTAAAAGTATAGTACTGGGGAAGTAAAATTCTGCTTGAAAAAGTCAATTTCAAATGGTAAATTTTGCAAATAATGTAGTTCAACTTTATGTGGAATAACTGTTAAAAGATTTCCATACAATTGCCTTAAAATGCCTTAGTCAATTTCCCCCTTGTTGCTTTCTGTAATTTTTATGTAAAACAATGTGAAATTAAATACCTAGAACCTATGGCCAAATGCTATGAGTAAAATGTATATACTTAAGATAGTTTTTCTTATCTAAATATTCAAAAAATTATCCTTAACAATGTCAACATTGTACTTATAATACACCTTTCCAAAAGGTCGGGGTTATCAAATCTTCAAGGTTTCAACATCATACTTTCAAGGTTTAATACACCAAAATATACTAGTTAATTAGTTATGGTTAGAAAATAAGGGTGGGTTGAATTGCAAATTCCCAAAAATGTACTTTGTCAAGCCGTAAGTTTTGGAATGTTCATTATCAAAGTTTGATGTTATAAAATTTTCAAAAAATGTAAACCAGGTCAGACTGAGGCAGACTGGTTTATATTGGTGGAAAAGGCTGACCACTTTTGGCTCCAAAAGGCTAAGCTGATTAATGAATAAGATACATGTACTGATTTAACCTAATTATGTAAAATTGGGGTGTTCCCTTTTAAAAAAGTATTGCAAATTACTTGAAAATGAAATAAAAACAAGTATCTTACTATCTAAGTTCAAACAGTGTGCAACATGAGCCTTTTTTAAAAAAAACCTATTCAAGTATGAATTATTTCAAAATGAAGTTATTTAAAGATATTTAAAAAATGGGCTGATGTTGAAAATCGAAAAACAGATATTTTAAAATAACACATTTTGTTTCAAATATTTACGATATAATCTCCAACAAATTGTTGAAATTAATTAAAGTTATTTTCAAAATCATTCTTACATCCAATATCATTGTTTTCTAAATAAACAATATTGAGTGAAACTTATAAAGGCTAGTTACAGAAAACAATTAATTTGAGGGTTTACTTTTTACAAAATCAATAAACCCATTGAAATATTTTTGGTCTTGGGGTTTATTGGCATAGTTTTGCAGACTGTCACCAAAACGATTTCAAAATCACTTTATAATACAATAATCTTATATACAAATGTATACATATTTGCATACTACCATGTTTAAGTTAGATTATGGTATTTAGTTTTGACATTTTTGCATATATTTCTTAAAACATGTAAAAGAGTCTCAAAATATTAAATAACAAATTTACATACCAAGTACAATATAAACAGATCTATAGAAGTGGCACTCATACAAATGTTATTTGGAAACTCGGTAAAGGTGGGCATTTCCCATCTAATTCCCTGTTACAAACAAACTTATAAGTATCACTGCGTCAACCATTCACAATAAAGTGATCTAACAAAGTTGTTACTGAAAAAGTTTGCTGGCAGCCTGGGATTATATTGGTAAACCTGACATTTGCCAAATACAGAGTATCTCCATTTAGTTTTCTTTTCCTGTTTTTGATGAAAGCAAAAAAAAGTATATAACACAAGGAAGGTAATTTTTTTACTTTGGAGTAGAAAGCTTATGAGGGACTCCACTGAGGTTTTTTTTGACATGACAGGACTGGAAATATATTTCCGATATTTTTGCACTATTTGATGTAAGACTGGACCAATAACTTGTGTGCAAATTTTCAGATCATAACTACATGTGCAATATGACCAAAAAATGAAAAGCGTTGCAACGCCTTATGCTCAAATCAGGCTAAGAATCACACAAAAATCAATATTCTATTTAATTTTAAGTACATTTCTTTTTTTATCCTTTGCAGATTTTCCAATTTTAATACCTTCACCTGATCTATGTAAGAATTTTAAACTTATATCTTTAAGCTTTTTGACCTCAGTCGACAACTGTTTAATGTCTGTTTTAGGTTTATTTCTTCAAATAAATAAACCTGAGTGAACCTGTTCAAGACACAAATAGTTTTAACAGAGACATCATTTCCTATCAAGATTACTTGTTTTTTATATTTCTTGAAAGTTATCCCTATTTATCCTGCAAGTAAAGGTTTCACGTCCCAAAAATGACACAGAAATCAATCTAGTAAACAATCAAGTAATCAAAAATAATAATTCAATTATAATAAAATTAGCCTTATTTCATGTATTAAAGCCTTCGTTTGGTAACATAACCATGTTTTTCGTGTTATATTTCTTAAAAATAAGTATACGCTTAAGCCACAATGGAGCTATGACATGTTCTAGTTTACACTTTTATAAACAGACTGTTTGAATACAAAA